CCAACCAGGGGCTGCTCCAGCACAGGCCTCTGTTTGCAATGTTTCCCGTGAACAGGGGCTGCTGGACTCAGTGTGAGCCAGGACTGAACAGTCCTGGCTTGTGCTAATCTCTTTGCCTCTGCATTTTAAATATAGTAAGAGTCCAGTGGCTCTTACTACATTTAAAATGCAGAGCTGCGGCGCAGGTAGCTCATAGACTCATAGACTTTAAGGTCAGAAGGGACCATTATGATCATCTAGTCTGACCCCCTGCACAGTGCAGGCCACAGAATCTCGCCCACCCCTCTTAGAATAATCCTCTCACCTATGTCTCAGATATTGAAGCCTTCAAATACTTTGAAGGCCCCAACATGCAGAGAGTCCTTCAGCTGTGATCTGTGCCCAATGCTACAGAGGAAGGCTCCCGGAGCCAATCCCCAGCTCAGTCCCAGCTTGAGCTGGCTCCTGTAGTTATCTCCACAGCAGCTCTGCAGAGTGGTTCTATCAACTAATACCATTAGCCTGATAACCACATTTTAACATTCTTAGTGTACATGGGTGCTTGTCCTGTGACTTGCAATGGAATAGCAAGCAATTTTGCCATGCTTTATCAGGGCTGATTTGGGTATAATATATGCCATCGGGATGTAGATTTATACTGAAACAGTGACAGGATAATAACAATGCTGGACAATTCACGGTGCAGTAAAAGTGCCCCTTGGAGATAGGCTCTTTATGCACCCTTTTGTTTTAAGGGAGTGTAATAGTAGATCCTCTAAAATAAGGATGGAGATTCTACCTCTTAATATGGATTCATTATAGAGAGAACCCATCCTTGGACAGATGGGTGCTATGCAAGGTTAACAAGTCTGCTTCTTGCTTAGCCATGGCTTCTTTGAATCTCCACTTGTCTTTTCACCATTAATTCAGGCTAGTTAAACAGCCTGTAGCAAAGTGAAACCCAGAGTGGCCCTGAATTCTGCATCCTTTCCAGTACTGGATCAGCTGTTGTCACTCAGAAATCATTCTTGCACGAGGATAAGTGCTTATTCACAGATGTCAGGCTGAGAACAGGAATTTTTCAGCCTGTTCAATTGGCAGAAGCAGAAAAGTTTGGCTTTGCCTGTGCTCCTGTAGTTTGTAGCCCAGAGAAATGCTGGAGCTCAAAAGGACTCCTTAGAAAGCAGCCTTGGACAAAATACAGAACAGCAGAAGCATGGGAGAGAAGAAAAGGAGATGCACAAAAGAAATAGAGGAATAGATAGCAACAGAGGGTTTGTCTACACTACAAAGTTAATTCGAACTAACGGACGTTAGTTTGAATTAACTTTGATAGGCGCTACACAAGCGCTCCGCTAGTTCGAACTTAATTTGAACTAGCGGAGCGCTTAGTTCGAACTAGGTAAACCTCATTCTACGAGGACTAAGCCTAGTTCGAACTTACTAGTTTGAATTAAGGGGTATGTAGCCCCTTAATTCGAACTAGTGGGAGGCTAGCCCTCCCCAGATTTCCCTGGTGGCCACTCTGGCCAACACTAGGGAAACTCGTATGCCCCCCTCCTTGGCCCCAGACCACTTAAAGGGGCACGGGCTGCCTACGATGCCCGTGCCAAGTGCAAGCCTGCCAGCACCAAGCCAGCAGACCCTGCACCTGGCACAGCTCGAGCCAGTCACCCGATGCCCTCCAGACTTCCCCCTCTTCCCGGGACCAGGCTGGTGGCGCCCAGGAGCTTGCCCAGGATCGCAAGAGGCGGGCACCCACCTGGTTTAGTGGGGACATCGTGGACCTTGTCCATGACCTCCACACTAGGCACAGGAAAGTGGCCGTCTAGGGCAGGAGAGCTGCCAGCCTGGCCCCCCAGGAGCAGGGGTG